ACTCAGTTTTGAAAATCCAGACAGGGTAGTAGAGAATGAAGAAAAGTTAATGGAAATGAGGCAAGGCAAGTGACCCTTGTCAGAATTCATTTGGGACTTTAGAAGGGTCACAAGCCACCTTATGAATTGGCCTGAAAGAGTGACTTTACACTATTTTTAAAAAGCCATTGATCCAGAAGTAAAGAAGGCCTGTGAAATTAGGGGAATCCTAGAGACCTTACAATCCTGGTATGTTGCATCGCTCAACTTAGATTGCAGTATCAACCCACACAGGAAGCCCCTTTCCGGCAACCCCTGACTAAGAGAATTGTGGCGAGGAGACCGCCAACCAGACCAGCCAAAACACCTACCACGGTGCTGAAATGTTATCAATGTGGCCAAGCCAGTCATAGGGCAGCAGACTGTACCACAAGCCCACAGTTGAAGCCTAATAAAACTGTTAGAGGTCGGAAGAATCAAGGAAGACCTCCAACCAGGGGTGGGTTCACCAAACACAGATGGGAAAGCCCCCTCTGCGCAGATGGGAGCAACAGACCACCAGACCAACACCACATCCCTGAGAATCCGACCTGTGAAGATGACCTAATGGTGAGTGATCCCATCATACCTTTTACAGTTAAGGTCAAGTTAGTGGTACCAAACAGGGGGGAGGACGGGGAGTTAGAAGTTATCATTGATACTGGGTGTTCTAGATGTCTTATCAGATTCCCCATCATTGAACAATTGAGCATAAAGACTAACCTGCTAAAACGCCCAATCAGATTTGAGCAAGTGGATGGAACCTTAATTGGGAGGGACTCAGCCACACACCTGACAGAATTGATCAAGATGGAATTAGGGCCCCATCATGAACTCATAGGCTTCATAGTGGCCCCAAGATGTCAGAATCAATCATACTGGGACTTGTTTGGTTAGACAAATGATCCAGGATATCTCCACAACAAAACTCACAAGGCCATCACACAGCCCATTATACCAACATCAACTCCATCAACCAATCAAGAG